CCCACAAGAGAACAGTGTTCAGCAAGAGTGTCCCACAACAGTGTTGAGCAAGAGTGTCCCACAAGAGTGTTCAGCAAGAGTGTCCCACAAGAGTGTACCACACCAGTGCTCAGCCAGCAAGACTGTCCCACAAGAGTGTTCAGCAAGAGTGTCCCACACCAGTGTTCAGCAAGAGTGTCCCACAAAGGGTGTTGTTCAGCAAGAGTGTCCCACGACAGTGCTCAGCAAGAGTGTCAGACAAGAGTGAGTGTCGCGCCTTGCCTGAACAAACCTACATGGGCCTGCAGGGGTGCGTAGAAGACTTGGACGTTTGAGACAAAGCTCCAGCCAGTGATGCTATATATGCAAGGGAACCTGTTGGCTATTTCTCCTTCGAGCTGACCAACCCGAAGGTCATGGCAGGACTTTGGTGTCATGCAACCACAGTTGGCAGCCAGGGCTGCCCTTTTGCCAGCATTGGCTGCAAGTGCCATGTCCAAGCAGAGCTTGATATGACGGGCAACAAGAAAAGCACTGGCAAGACAGTCTGCACTGTGCACAGCAGCCACCCAACCAGGACTTGGAGACCCAGCTGCACGTCGACAACAACAATGGGAGCATGATTCAGAGCACATCCCTGACCGACAACACAGGTGACAACGTGTCGCTGTCCGATGTCCCTCAACCAGCGGAGGCACTGTCGAGAACGTTGATGGCCCCCACATGGATGGGTCTTCAAGGTTGGCTTCAACGCTGCAATGAACAGCCCATATATTGGAAACATCAGCTTGATGGACAAGGGGCATTACTTGACCCGGCCAAACAAAGGCGTCACAAACACTAGACATACGCACCCTCACAACAGTGGGCGGATGACAGGCACATGCTATCAACTCCTACAAGGGGATTCCTACAAGGGGACTCCTGTAGACCGCCAACCATTTGAAAAAAAAAGGAGGCCAAAAGGGCTACATAATTTCAGACAAAGATGCAGGATCTTCATGCAACCGCTCAAATCGTCTTTGGATG